CAGATTTGTGTGATAACACAGATATCAGATTTGTGCCGTGGCACAGAGGTGGCTCAGCAGGAGGAGAACAGATGCCAGACACGGTTGTACCCAGGAAATGTGGCAATGTGGAGTGTCCCCTTTGGCTGCATGCCATCCCAGTCCCTGCCTGGAGAGTTGGGGTGTCGGAGGCTGGGTTTGCTCAGGGTGCCACCCCCGTGGAGCCCTCGCAGCCGCCACTGGCGCAGGAGCTTCACCTCTCTCCGGGCAGAGCCCACCACGGTCCTTCCAGCGGTGCCAGGGCGTCGGGAATGGGGGATTTTCCTGGGTTGGGAGCGATCCCACATGGAGGCTTTCACTGCTCTTCAGGAAGTCGCAATGCCAGAGTCAAATATGGAATATCAGGGAAAAGAAAAAAAATTAATCGATGGGCTGTTTGTCCGTCTAAATCCCAGGGAATGGGGGGTCACAGAGGTGACTGCACAGCTTTGAACCCTTTTCCCATTTCAGTCCCTTTCCCATGGGTAGCCTGGGGTAGCTCAGCTTGCAGGGAGCCCAGCTCAGAGCAGGTTATAAACATCCTGCCAGGTGAACCCAAGGTTCAGCACAGCCTGAGCAGGAAAACATTCCTGYTGCTGGGCTGCAGTGCTGTGGGAAGGGGGAGATCCCTCAGGATCCTGTGCACCTGCTCCTCCTTGGTGCACAGGGACATTTGCCTCGAGCACTGCTCTGAAGTTCAAATCAGACTTTCAGGCCCCAGTGCTGCCAGCATCACACACACAAGGTCTGGCCCAGGTCCTGCTGAGGGGAGATTTTCCCTAAAACGGGCTCGGGGTTCCACCTCTGCCCTGCACTGGGACCTTCCCCAGGGGGAACAGGGCATGAAGAACCCCATTAGTGATGAAACCCCATTACCCAGCTGAGCTCCAGCCCTGCCCCAGGGCTCTTACACGGCCCTGACCCGCTCAGGTGAGTGCAGCTGGACTGTTTGGAAGGGAAGGTAAGCGCTGGGAGAACAAACCTGGAGCTGACACTGAGCCCAGCTCACCTTTTTCAGTGCCTTTTTACTGCCCAACCCAGGGGAATCCTCGCTTGTGCTTTGCCTGCCAGAGCTGAGTTCTGTTGCTGGCTTGAATGAGCTCAGTGTTGTCTGCTCTTTCATTGAACATTCCTGTGCTTCTCTCTTCTCTCTTGATTTGAAGACCGAGTCTGATTTTGGGTCTGTGCCTAACTCTGAGCTGCTTGTGTTCTTAACCTGAGAGAAACCCAGTGCATGCCTGAGACTGAGTTCTGGAACTCTTTTATGGGATTGGTGGAATGCAATGCTAATGGCCCCAAAACCGAGCTGGCATTGAAAGAATTCATAGATCCAACAAGCCCCCCAATTTCAGCACGAGCTCTGTAGCCAAATGAGCAAGAAACRTGGGTCAGTTCAATGTGGTAAAACAATAATCCAACGGAAATATTCTTTTGCTCGTCTTTACCAAGCAGAGCTCCTTTATGATTCTATTTGCTGCTTCACTGCTCAATCGTTTAAAAGTGGGATGTTTTCTCTCTTTAGCTCACTCAGTCAAATAAGTGGCTGTGATCAGAGAGCCACAAATAAGCGAATTATGGAAAGGGGAAATATTTTTCATCTCCTTAAAATAGGAGGGCAAGAGGGATCTGGCTTCTGCATGTTTTGTTTTGGAAAGAACCCTCTCTAGATTAGCTCATTGGGGCAAGAATCCTCGTTTCCCTGAAGGAAAGCAAAGAAAAAAAAAGAAAAAAAAAAGGGGTGAAGGGCAGGGAAAATTCTAGAAAACAAATGGAAATCAGAACCTGCCTCCAGCAGTTCTTTGATCCACTTGTGAAGACACATTTAATGAGAATTTGGAAAACCAGCAGGTTCCTAAGGCATCCTCCTGCTGGTGAAGGCTCACCCTCCCCRATTGACTCGCTGCCCTCGCTCCACCTTCCAAACAATCTTCTGGTGCCGTTTCTCCTTGGCAAACCTGTCCAGTTACACACTCTAGAACACTGAAAACCTCCAGCTTGGAAAACATCCTCATTCTCCTGAGGAGGTTTTAATCTTCACTGGACAGTGCCTTTCTTTGTCACGTAGTCCCTTGCRACCGTCTTGGCTCAGGTTCAATTCCCTGTCGAAACAGAGCTAGCCAAGACTTCCAAAGCACCTCATTCCTTTACAAAACCAAAATCCGGCACCATCCCCCTCTCCCTGAGTCTTTGTGGGGAGAAAATCCTCCTTGCTCAAAGAAAAGCAGCCCTCTGTGGCCTTTTCCTTTTCTCTCACTGACCCAGTAGCAGAGGGGAGGGCTCTTGTGGAGAGGGGTTTTCTCATTCTTGCTGCATGTGGAGTGATCTGCACTGACGAATGTTTCTTTTGGAAGGTTTTCTGGTGGCCGATTTGCTGCTTAGATCGTGAAGCTGGTAATTTTAATTTCTTTTTTGCGGGCTGTGGTTTCGGATCCGCGGTCGTTTTCTGAAGGACACAAAACCTTGACTTTCCGCAGGACAACTTCATCAACCTCAGCTTCCTGCGGCTCTTCCGGGCGGCCCGGCTCATCAAGCTCCTCCGCCAGGGCTACACCATCCGCATCCTGCTCTGGACCTTCGTGCAGTCCTTCAAGGTGAGCCTGGGCTGGTGGGGAGCCAGGGAGGGGACACGGGGAGGGGACACGGGGACAGGGTCCTGCTTGGTGCACCTGGAGCATCTTCATGGAGGATCCATGGCCTCTCTGCACCTCTACGGAGCGATCACGGGAATTGCCAGTTCAGGAATTCTGCAGGGAAGAGGATTGTGAGCACTGATCATCGCCAGGAACGCTAATTCTGCTGAAAGTGAACTGGTTAGAGCTGATCATCACCAGGAACGCTAATTCTGCTGAAATTGAACTGCTTAGAACTGACCATCGCCAGGAATGCTAATTCTGCTGAAAGTGAAATGGTTAGAACTGACCATCACCAGGAACGCTATTACTGCAGGAAAGAAAAATGGTTAGAACTGATCAGCCCCAGGAACATTAATTCTGCCAAAAGAGAACTGGTTAGAACTGACCATCTCTGGGAAAAAGAATTCTGCAGAAAAGAGAAATGGTTAGAGGAATGTTAATTCTGCTGAAAGAGAACTGGTTAGAACTGACCATCTCTAGGAATGTTAATTCTGCAGAAAGTGAATTGCTCATCTCCAGGAACGTTAATTCTGCTGAAAATGAACTGGTTAGAACTGACCATCTCCAGGAATGTTAATTCCGCTAAAAGTGAACTTGTTAGAACTGATCATCTCTGGGAAAATTAATTCTGCAAAAAGTGAATTGGATAACAATGCCCATCGCCAGGAACTCTAATTCTGCTGAAAGTGAACTTGTTAGAACTGACCATCTCTTGGAAAATTAATTCTGCAGAAAAGAGAACTGGTTAGAACTGACCATCTCCAGGAATGTTAATTCTGCAAAAAGTGAACTGGTTAGAACTCACCATCTCTGGGAAAATTAACTCTGCAAAAAGTGAATTGGATAGCAATGCCCATCTCCAGGAATATTAATTCTGCTGAAAGTGAACTGGTTAGAACTGTCCATCTCTGGGAAAATTTATTCTGCAGAAAAGAGAACTGGTTAGAACTGACCATCTCTAGGAATGCTAATTCTGCAAAAAGTGAACTGGTTAGAACTGATCCTTGCCAGGAACATTAATTCTGCAGAAAAGACAACTGGTTAGCACTGCCCATCTCCAGGAATGTTATTTCTGCTAAAAGAGAACTGGTCAGCATTGCCCAGCCCTAGGAATGTTAATTCTGCTAAAAGAGAAGAGAACTGCTTAGAACTGACCATCTCTGTGAAAATTAATCCTGAAAAAAGTGAATTGGATAGGAATGCCCATCTCCAGGAATGTTAATTCTGCTGAAAGTAAACTGGTTAGAACTGACCATCTCTGGGAAAATTAATTCTGCAGAAAAGTGAAATGGTTAGAACTGACCAGCCCCAGGAACATTATTTYTGCTAAAAGAGAAMTGGTTAGAACTGACCGTATCTAGGAATGTTAATTCTGCAAAAAGTGAACTGGTTAGAACTGATCATCCCCTGGATTATGAGTTCTGCGGAAAAAAATAATTGGTTAGAACTGACTGGTCCCAGGAATATTAATTTTCTGCAGAAAAGAGAATTGCTTACACTGGACATTCCCAGGAATGTTAATTCTGCAGAAAAAAATGGGTTAGCACTGACCAGTCCCAGGAATATTGATTCTGCAAAAAGTGAACTGGTTAGTACCAGGAATATTAATTATTAATCGAACTAGCATCCCAAGGAAGAATAATTCTGCTGAAAGAGAACT